TTGTAGGACTTGCAGCTTTCCCGTAATTGTAATTCATGAGTAGACAACAATTCATGAATAAACAAAATGTTTTAGTTCTGTCTACTGAAACTTGTCTACAAATAAAACTAACATATATGTGGTTTATAGCATGAATTTATTTTGTTTAATATAAATGTTGCGTGTTGGATTTAGTTCCCAGACAAATTAACAAGTTAGTTAACGTTTATTACAATAAATTATTATAATTTTTTTCTCTTTTAAACTTTAGCATTAGTAAATGATATTTAATTAAGGACATCTAAGATTTTCACAATTGTTTGTATTATTTCATTGCATTTATCACATTTCTGGCATTTTTTTTACATTTGTGCGTAATCCCGGTTGCTGTTAAATACCCGAAATGTCCGGGTAAATGTAGTTTATTAAAATATATCCCGTATTATATCTAAAAATCACAGATTCATTTAAATATAATTAAGCTATAAATATGAAATAATTATTTCTACTGACACTAACACTAACAAGTCAAATTATGTGAGAATCCTCATAACAAATTTGTCCGATGTTAAATGTTCAGAAACAGTGATCATGAGTATGCCAAACTAATTTATTGTTTGAAAGAGAATTGTAGAAAATCTAATGTATAGACAACAATCTGGTCGTGTGTATTTTAGTTTATTTATTATAACTTATTTGTTTCTACGTGGTTTGACGATAAACTCAAAGAAATAGAATTATATAACATTCAACTCTCATGAAATTTTGGGCAAAAATTAAGAGACATATTATATATATATTTTTATTACTGAAAAATAAATATAAGAAGTTCGATTAAAAAGTATCTTTATGAGTATACTGGAAGAGTTGGTCACGTATTCACACATTACCTTAACTCCCTCTGTCATTAATTATAACTTGGTGTGGTTTCGGATAGAAAACTTTTCAGGCAGCTGCTTGCATCAATCACAAAAAGGATATTCTATTGGTGGCAATCCCTTAGATTATGTATATACATATATATTCAAGTCAATTTGTAAAATAAATATGAAGGAATCAAAAGAATTCAATTAAATTTATTTAATTAAAATTCAACAGAGTTTCCTTCCCAACCGCATTCTTGTTGCCACAAAAGATTTATTTGAAATAGTATCTGTAGTTTAGTTTTACTATTTAAAAAAATCTACTTAGTCTTACAAGTTCCATTCCACTTCAAACAACTTGGCTTTTGCTTAAGTTACTCTAAACTTACTTAGCTCCTTAAAATGTCTTCACTCTGAGATTTAATCTCAACTGGATATTTTAAAGCTGTTCGTTTAAAAGGAAACTTTGTTTAAGTGATTAAATTAACATTTTTATTCTATAAAACTGCATGTTATACGTTGAATAAAATAAAATATGCATACATAATAAAACAATCTTTCAAGTAATAAGCTCTTTTCATTAGTAACTTTCTCAGTTTTGATTATTAATATTAATGCCGGGTTATATCAACGCAAGATATGAAACTTTTTTATATTGTAACCTTATTCTTTCATTACAAAAAAAAAAGAAAATATTTTAACTAACCAATATTATACCAAAGATTCTTAAGAGTTAGTGAATTATTTTATTACATATATGATTTTTTAATTATAATATCATAGGATAAACGTTAATATGATAGGATAAACGTTATTTTATTGTACGAGTATATCTTGATAACAAAAATATTTGTGTCAAAGTTTTAAGTGATGTTTACTTTTGTAACGAAATTTACAACTTAATGCTTTCAATAACAACCTCGATATAAACTACGATATAACTTATTTTAACAAAGAAAACTTTGTATAAATCAACAAAAAAAACTTAAAAATGAATATTACAGAAATAAATAAAAGCAGTAAGTAGTTAGTAGTCACTGTTTTCATACTCGACATATATTTCAAAGATCTCAACTTTTTAACCAAAAATAATCAACCTAATTTAAAAAATTTCCTGCGGTCTTATTTCAAAATCATGACATAAATACATTGGAGAAGTATTCAGGTCATAAGGACTCAGTCAGTTTATTGATGAAAAACATGTACTTAAAATATCCGTCGTTGCAAAATCTCTAAACAATCTGTATCTCATCACAGAGCTTTCGCTTTGTAAACAGATGAAAGACCTGGAATGTTTGTAGTTCAAAATGAAGGTTTTCGTTAAAAATATTGACAACATTTGATTATAAATTAAATTACATTGATTTTAGAATTTTCCAAATCCGTTTATGACACAGTCGTTGCTAAAATGTTAAGTCCATACACATAAATATCCTTTTATGAAGGAAAATGAAATTTAAAAATTTGACAACTAACAATTGTTATTGTTAGGAGAACGAAGATTCAAATCACACCGAGCATCTCATTATTGTTTTCCTAATCCTTTCTGACAAATATTTATGATATGTTATCACAGACGTAGTAGTAGAAAAGAATTTTTAAGCACATTTTATTGAGTTTTGATCGCAATTTCACCTTAAATACATCATACTTAACATGAAGGATCATGTAATACTTAGACATAATTATAAGTATTAAAAACATTACTGCACGATTTCACTTTAACAAGTTGGCCGTGAAAAATAATTGATTTTACTTCTGTATAGTTGTGGTTCAAGCAACTTAAAACATTATATAAAATAGCAATTTGTAGATATGGCATCTTTTTATTCAATGATAGCTCTCAATAAATTTTGATAAAAAATTTGCTTAATATAATAATTTAATAAGAAAAGCAACTCGTTCTATGAATGAAGTCTCATATTTCTTTAGAAACTTTACATTGTTCCTTAGTTATTTAAATGTTTTTGGTAATAAATTTATGTTACATAATATACTTCCCTTTTATATTAAATTTAAATAATGATTGACGTGTTTTATATGAAAGAAAAAACCTCCCATATATTATTACATAGATTTGTCATAATGTATTACAGTTAGACCTTCCGAATACTGGGAAGTAATGAAAACCCCAACAACATTGTATGAAAATTATCGCAAGAAACTCTCTTTGTAACTTAATTTGTCATACATACATTATTACGTCATTAAAAATGTATATTACAATCTCCTAGGCAATCTGTGCTTATTTTCATTAATTATTTTTTGAGGCTCATACATAGACGTTTATAAATCTATCATAATATTATTTTAAGCAATTATTTATATAATTATATACTTATTCAAGAAATCTTCCATAATACCATGCCACACCCACAGAGGGACAAAAGAAACAGATCTTTTCAACTCAGCATAAACATACTTTATATTGCAAATAAACTACATATAAATATTAATTATTTTATGTAGAAAAAAAAAATACGTAACGGACCGTTATACAAAATAGTTAAGTTCGATATTTATATAACAATATAAACAGTATATGAGCCTGATTTTAAGCTAATTTTTAAGTTACATGTTCAGTTTGTCGGTAAGATTGAAACAAATGGATTAACGAAGATACAGTTTAATTATAATGGTTATTATGACTGGACTATTCTCTTGGGTAGAGATTTCACCTTAACTTGTTCCTCTTTGATCTTAGAATATGTCTAGAATAATGGCTTTTGCTAAACCTGAATTTCGTTTTAGTTGTATACAAAATTACGAACTAACTCGCTTATCGATAGATTTAATTAAATCCACGTTTAGACTTAAGATATATTTAAATGGTATAATATTATTTAAACTACATTAATGCTGTCTCTGTGATTTCATTAAGTTGTGATCTTAGATTCTATTTATAAAACTGTGAAGGATTGTTAGACGACGAAGGCTTTCGTAATTAAGCCAATTCATTTATTATAACTTTGTAATCTACGGACGAGTACATTTAATTATTCAGTGATGCAGGTTTTCAGATACGGAATAATATTTTATGGGACAATATTTAAATTATAGAAAATGAGTCATCCAAATTGCTAGTTAATTATAGTAATTTTGCAATTTAATATTATCAAAGTGGACTCCATTTAACATGGTACAAAAAAGTGGTACTCTGTAAACGTTCAGTAAACAATGCAACCGACCAATAATTGAAAGCCAAATAGCCCGCGATGGCTTTCATCAACAAATGTATATTTTCGAGTAGTCCAATATATAAAAGTACTCCATTTTATTTTGATAAACAAATACTGCAAATATTGCACATTACATACGCTTTCGGCATAATTATTCAGGATATTTATAAAAAATAATTTATTTTATAAAAAGACCTCATAGTATTTATCACATTGTATATATTGTTATCTATTTCAGTTGTATTAATAAAAGCAACATAATATAATAATAATGGTTCTAAGTAATGTCTTAAAAAATTGTCCCATATATATTTATATGTCTATAAGTTATAAATAGATAAGAGATGATAGCATTATTTGAATCACATTATTTTCCTTCACCATATTTAACTTCCAGTTGATATTGTCTTATTTGCAGACATTGTTCCAAGGGTTTGTTCCAAGGATAAGCACACATCGCAATCTGTTTGTCGTTTCAACCGTTGACTTCAGCGTTAGGGACAAATTTGATTTATACCAATAACAAACACACTTATTTTAAATTTAATCTTACTTAATTTACCAATTTTATTTACTTTTTAACTGTTCCTGAATGTTAAGAGACATCTAAACTACGTTTTATCTTATTTGCTACTAGAAATATCCATTTACATTGTTTTGCAAAATACATGTGTACATGTGCTAATTTATCTTGTCTACTTACTTAAAGGTTAATATCTCAAGCCATTCGTCACATAGTACAAAGCCTTGTTTATTTAAATTTTCACGACATGTATAATTCTAACACCCTCCGCTCAGGACTTTGAAAGGTAAAAACTCCATTAAATTTAACTTAGATATTCGGAGATTTAACAAGGTACTATCCAGGTAAAGTGTAAATAAGTGTTCAAGTCATTAAGTATGTTCCTAATGTCTAATATAGTGCTAACTGACTGATTGTAATCATTCGGGAGCTTGATAACTAGGCAATTTGAGGGAATCAAATCATTATCGCAGTAGTGCATAGTTGTGGCGCGGCCGATAAGCGCAGAGCCCGGCGGCGGCGGCGGCAGCGGCAGTTACAGTCGATTGGTAAGCGCGGCCAGACGCGCACAGCGGCCCGACGCCGCCCGCCGCCAGCTCTTAGTCTGTGCTCGCCACAGCCCGTCTCACTCACAGGTAAACATATACCATACCCCATACACAAAGCCCGAACCCACCTCTCCCCAGTGTACTCGAACAACTTAGTTAAATAACTATTTAAGTGGCCATTACAATTTGTTTACATAATCTGTCTCTGTGTATTTGGATAAAGATCAAAATCCCTTCGCTTTGTTTAGCGATGGAAATATTTTTATAGCGGACAGTCGAAAGACATAAGTCCGTAATGACCCGGGAAATTGTTCATTTTGATTTTCGATGTACCAATTACCTGCGGATACAACCTGGATTCGGATATAAGAAAAGTAAAGAATTACCGGTGGTACACATAAAAACAATTTCTTTTAATATTATATTTAAATGATTTCGATCAATTTAATGCGTAGATTAATAAAATATTAAAATGTATCTCGTTATCTTCATAATGATTATTTAAGATTTTAGACGTGTTTACAATCAAAGAGATTGGATTAGGCTCTAACATGTTATCGAGACCGACCTTGAAATAAAACCGAAATTGAACTACTTATCAAGATTAATGGTGCTAGACTATCGTTCATGTAACCATAAAATATGCCAGTTTTTATCCTTGAAACTTTCGTTGTCAAACTTTTGTTAATGAAAAATAATTACGAGTAATACATAAGTAATTAATTATTTTTGAACGTTCTTAAAAGGAGGTCTATCATCGTTGAATGGTTGAACCCTTGAAACGCGTTTCCGTCCGAAAGTAATTCATATAAAAGATGACTTGGAAATGTTAATTTTTTTGTTTTACTCATACAGATCGAGAAAACAAAGGTTGTATCAACTGAAAAGCCGCATTGTATTTAACGTTGCCATTGTATACAACGGCAATACTATATTCTTTTTATTTAAAGATCTATAATTTAAACTTAAAAATAGTCCACATGTTTTAATATTTATATAACATAACATAATACATTACCACAAATAGCCTGAATAATTTAAATTCGTAATAAAAGCAATAAAGTCACACTGGTTTTGTTAATTACAAAAATTTAAGAGTCTCTACATTTTATGAACCTCCTATTTTTGTTGGTTAATTTGAACAGATACATCAGAAATTTTGGCAGTAAGAAATTTGCTTGTTGTTCAAATATAGTTTCAGTAAGGACAATTTTACCATTGTTTTTGTTATCTTACACAGTTTACACTTGCAAATTGCTTTGTTTAGATCACAACGTTGAGTATGTTAGTGTTATATATCTATTAACGGAACTTTCTCAATACATTTTGTGTCGAATGCATGTGAGAGTTTTTTGAATATACTGTTGTTTGTTCAAATTAAATACTTCGACATCTACATCATCATCTCTAGTACTCAAAAAACTTTTTTCGGATCTACTTCCAGTATTTTTTTGTTTTATATTTTACCATATATTTTGATATTTTCCCATAACTGATATTTCAGGCAGAAGAGTTGAAATGTCTGTCAATCAGTCCAGTTTCTTATTACCTACTGCAAATAAATGGTTTATAAATTTTTCTTTCCAACTGTTCTGGATGCTCACAAAATATACATAGAACACAGGATGCATACAGAACGCTAACTGTGTAGACTGGAAATGTGGTAACGAATATGAGATTACATATATTTCATATATTTTATGTCGATAGCCTTTTGGGTTAATCTTGGTATATATACTGTCTTCACGAGCGAGAGTCTGTGGTTTATCAAAACGGATGTAATGGCTTGCCTTGTCCACTGCATGTTCACACACGGCTGACTTCAACGCACGTCTATTTTTATGTTCCTTAATAAGGATTAAGTACAAGGGTACTTATGTATTTCTTCGTTTCTCTTATATATTAAGAAACAGATACAATAATTTTTACATAAAACCGCTTGTTTTACAAGTAATTCTACTTTTTTAATATTATTAATTACTTTAAAAGTAATTCTACTTTTAATCAGTCTTAAGAATATAATCACTTTTTATGTTTTTAAATTTTGTTTTAATACGTACTCTTCAAGAATTTTACTATCCTAAGAGTAAAATCCCTTCACATATGATAATTTTATCGGTTGTCACTCAAGTGTGACTTCAGATGATTGTTGCGAGACTGGCTATGTACAGACTCGTTATTAATGAAGAGAGTATGCTTTAGTTCTTGCAAATCCGCCTCTAGATATTCAAGATTGCGTAGGTGTTGTACTTAATAAACTACTAATTTGCTAAAGTTAGCTAGTTAAGAAAGCGGGTTAAGGATTTCCTAAAAATATTGGATAAAATTATCAATAGTACCATATTATGGTAGTACCAATAGTTAACTTTTTTAAATTTTTACTTTAAGACTGTGTGATTTTTGCTATTTATCATTAGCATCACAACAAAGGAGAGATTCTGCTCCAGTAATCTTAAGAAAAAACTAAATATTATATAAAACTATGTACCAAATCACTATTTTAAACTTAGAAATTGTATATCTTAAAGCAACACTTTTAATCATTTCAATTCATTTACAAATCAAAGTTTTAGTAATAAAGCTTCTTGATCGCCAAAACATCTGCCTTCCTTAATATTGTCAAACCATATGAGTAATATATGGAAAACAAAATATAAAAGTGTCGTATAAAACATGCTATACGTTTTGTGAATTGGAAAAATGTCATTAAAATCAGATGATAATAGTTTCTCATGTTGATAATAGATAAAAGAGACAAATTACTATGTGTTGATTAAATGGAAATCTTTTTTTAATTCCTTTGTTACTTTCCATTGGCAGTGATGTTAAAAATGATATTCTGTTTTCTTTGACCGCAATTCATTTTTCAATGTTTTATTATTTAATTAAAATTACTGTTCTTAAAATATTTTCTCTGTGTTGCTTTGTTATACTTTTATTTCATTTATGTTTTTTTTTGTGTATCCGCACCATGTGATTTTGTTAGCAATTATAAGCACCGAATTACAATTAATATACTTACTTATAATATATAACAGAATAAAACAAGAGTTCATAGAATATTAACAGTTATTTAAATAACTTCGCGTCCCACGAATGAGGCAATTCTAGAGCTGATTAAGACTTAACATAGTTAAATTGTTTGTTTTTATACTGCTTCACCCCGAACGTTGTATATAATATAACTTAATTTTAGTGTCATTTATCCTTAAAAAGTGTTATTATTTTCTGTTTCATATTACTCACTTTACATTAAACCCTCTGCCAAGATAATTTACACTCAATCGTCATGTTTGTATATATAAATGAGATATTTTCTTCTCAAAACGCGATGTTTCTGTAATGTTCATTTCCTAATTTTCGGAGTTTTCGATCATCCATTTTATGAAGCAGAACGCCTATTTCGTTAGAATTACTTCATGCCAGGAAATTTACTTAACATCAAATATATTTTCTGTGAAATACTTAACTACACCTTTTTCAACGTGAACATCATTTAAAATTATTCTATGTCTGGCCTTTGTATAACTTGTACATATTATTGTTTGTTAATTAAAATAAACGAGGACGTTCTAAAGAAATAATATATTATGCAATTAACACATTGCTCAACAAAAACTCCTTACAAAAACCTTGCCACATTATTTAGACAAGTGTCAATCCAAAGAATGTTAAACAATCAAAAAATATTCCGTAATAGGACAACTTCTCCTTTTAATAATGTAGTGGAGTATTAGTATCTGGCGGTATGCCAAAATTATTACTGCCTGATCTTACAATAACGAACATAATTTAATACTTCCCACTTACTGCAACATAAACTATCTATTGTTTGCAAGAGGAGTAACATATTAAATGGAAATCTTTTCGAAATATTTCAATTATAAAACTATTTAAAACCTTATAATAACTTACTCATGAAACATACATACTTTGGATGTTATGAATTAAGAATAGATGTTTTTAAACTGTGTACATATTACTGGACAAATAGGGTTTACCAATTTTGTAAAGAGAAAATTATTTTTTTTCTTTACTTAATGTGTCCCTGGAAAATAAAAAGAAAATGTCAAAAGCGAAAAATGTTGAAAAAAGCAGAACCCTGACTATTTAATATTCTTATTTCTTTTAAGTCCAGTTTATAATGGATAGGGTTTATACTTTCTCGATTATATGTGTTTATTTACACTTATAAAGACGTTGTAATCTACTATAGTCGCTATTCCGTCATGATCTGATTAACAGATACGAAAATAATCTGCTAAACAGATAAATTAAGATAAAAGCAGTGCAAACATGTCGTTAAATTGATATGTACCAGATATAGTATTCGTAGTAGCTTTCAATATAATTATAAAAGGTTTTCTTTGTGGTCATGAAAATTAAAATCATTTATCGTGAACCAAAATATTGTTTGGTTCATATACATCATCTCAACATGATTTAGATATAATAATAATAATATAATATCATCACTGTATGAGGTTTTTAGAGTTTGTTTTTGAGTTACAGTTAGTTTTGTTATTTTTTTTCTTGCTTGGTTAACATGTGAGATATCTAAAATATATCTTTCATGAAATTTTAAGTTTAACCCTAATTTTAAAAAACGGTGGGGGTGAAAAATCTATTCACACTTCGAACACATGCGTCGTTTCATAGAAATTCGTCACTTTTTTGATTATTTCTTTAATATTTTTGATAGTACTTGCCTCTTTGTATATAATGGTATGAAATCATCAAGCGTTTATACTTAAATATATTTTTATTTATATAATATCAGATATAAATCGTTTTCATTTTACATCTTACCCGATGTTCCGATTATTTTACAGCTACTATGAACACGGGGAGACGGTATCAAAATATCTATCCGTTTATCTTGTCATTTGTTATCTACTGCCACCGATTTCTTAATTTGGTTGGTTAATGCTTCTCCCGTCGTCTAAGCAACTTATTTTAATTCTTTAATATAAATTACGTACCAATCCGTTCATCTCATAAATTATACATTTCAACATCGGAGCCTTTATGTGTTGGAATTCTAAGGAAAAATTATTTTTTCTGAATGGCTAAATGTACCTATTAATTTAAGTTTTATTCTGATATGTAAATTATGCTCTACATAATAGGATACTAATTCAGGTACATTTTACTTGAAACTTCG